AGTATTCAAAATGCATGCCATCTTGGGGTGGGGGGAAGGGCAAGATGGGTGAAAACTTGGAACTCAAAATCTTGTGGAAGTAAATGTTGAAGAATTTTTTAAAAAATCTTGAAAAAAAAATAATACATACCAAAAAAACAAGATTCACCATCACATATAATGAGGATAAACTAGAGGCCTTTCCAATAAGATCAAAGGTAAAGCAAAGATGCTCGCTGTCAGGACTTTTATGTGTTACTAAGCTAGAAATGTTATCGATAACAAAACATGGAATTGAAGGAATAAGCAGACACAAATAAAAAAAACCTAAATGATTACTTCTGGTGCATGATATAATAATATACTTAGGGAATCATACAGAGTCAACTAAAACTTATCAAGATGATAAACTTAGCAAATGTGAAGGCTATAAAATAAATCCTTATAAATCATCAACATTTGTTACCAAAAATATCCAGCCAGAAGAGACAGAAAGAGAAATTTCATTTAAAATAATTAGAGAATGCATAAAGTACCTGGGAATCTACCTATCAACACACACCCAGGAACTATAGGAATATAACTATTTACAGAAATAATGTCAGACTTGAATACTGGAAAATTTTCGTTGCTCATGCGTAGGCCAAGCCAGGGCAACCACAGTGGGTGGAGTAGGGAAGACTTGAGTTCAAATTTGGCTTCAGACACTTACTAGCTTTGTGACTATGGGCAAATCACTTAACCATTTGCCTCAGTTTCCTCATTTGTAAAATGAGCTGGAAAAAGGAATGGCAAACCACTCCAGTATCTCTGCCTAGAAAATCCCAAATGGGATCAAGGAAGAGTCGGTCACAACTGAACAACAGGCCAAACTAACATAATAATAATACTACTACCTAAATTAACTCATTGAGTACCAAGAAATCAAAGAATTACTTTGGTAGGTGAAAAAAATTAAAATGAAATTCATTTGAAAGGTGAAACATGAAGAGGTAAACAGGAAAGATAAATCATAAGAGACTTATTAAGGCTGAACTATTTATATTCCTGCAGGGAAAGATGATATTTGTAACTCCTGAGTCCTTTGTTAGTATTAGGGTAGTGGGAGAGAAAAAAATTATACATATGTATAGATACAAAGATAGAGGGCACAGGATGAGTTGAAGGTGAAGGGGTGACATCTGGAAAATAAAATTAAGGGGTGAGAGGATTATACTGGGAGAAGGAGAAAGGGAGAGGTAGAATGGGGTAAATTATCTCACATGAAACAGACAAGAAAAGGCTTTTTACAGTGGAGGGGAAATGGGGGAAGGTGAGAGTGAATGAGTCAATCTCATTCTCATAGGATTTGGCTTAAGGAGAGAATAACATACACAACTGGGTATGGAAATCTATCTTACCCTACAGGAAAATAAGGGGGGAATGGGACAAGAGTGCAGGGGGATGATAGAGGGGAGGGTAGATTGGGGGAGGGGATAATCAGAAGCAAACACTTCTGATGAGGGACAGGGTCAAAAGAAAGAATAGAATAAATGGGGGATGGGATAGGATGAACTCAAATATACTTAGTTTTTCACAACATGACTACTACGGAAGTGTTTTGCATGACTACACATGTATAACCTGTATCAAGTTGCTTGCCTTTTCAATGAGAGTGGGTGGGGAGGGAGGAAGGGAGAAAATTTGTAACCCAAAGTTTTAAAAATGTATGTTAAAAAAACAAAACAAAACAAAATTCATTTGAAGGGACAAAGGGTAAAGAATTTCAAGAAAAACCATGATAAAAAAAAGTGGGAAGGAAGGGAGCCTAATATTAGCAGATCTCAAATTATATTAAAAGCAGTAATCAGGGACAGCTAGGTGGCACATTGCATAGAGCTCTAGCCCTGGAGTCAGGAGGACCTGAGTTCAAATCCAGCCTCAGACACTTGACACCTACTAGCTGTGTGACCCTGGGTAAGTCACTTAACCCCAATCGCCAAAGCAAAAAAAAAAACCAACAATACAAAAAAAGCAGTAATCATTAAAACAATATAATAATGGTTAAAAAAAAGAATAGAGAGGTCTATCAGTAGAACAGATTAGGTAGATAACAAGAGAAACAAAACAAAACTGGTAGCCTAGTGCTGGCTACTGGGGGCAAGGATTCTCCATTTGACACAAACTGCTGGGGAAAATGGACAGCAGTCTAGCAGAAAAAAGTTTTAGATCAATAACCCATACCATATGCCAAAAGAAGCTCTAAATAGTTACATGACATAGATAGAAAAGTTATTACCAGGAACAAGGAAAAAAAATCACCTTTCAGGTCTAGGGATAAGGGAAGACTTCAAGATCAAATAAAGGAGAGATATAAGCGCAAAAGACAAAATGGATGATTTTGATTCAGTAAAATTAAGTTTTGGCACAAATAAATCCAAGGCAGCTATGATTAGAATGGAAATATTTAACAGGAAAAAAATTATTTGCAGCAAATTTCTCTGATAAAGATCTCATTTTCAAAATATATATAAGGAACTGAATAAAAGCCATTCATTAATAAATTAATAAATGGGCAGAGGATATGAACAAGCAGTTTGCAAGAAAAGAAACCCAAGAACTGAGGGGCAGCTAGGTGGCACAGTGTATAGAGCACTGGCCCTCGAGTCAGGAGGACCTGGGTTCAAATCAGATGTCAGACACATAACACTCACTAGCTGTGTGATCCCGGGCAAGTCACTTAATCCCAATTACCTCACAAATAAAAAAAAGAAAGAAAAGAAACCTAAGCTATCAAGAACCACAGAAAAAATTATCCAAATCACTAATAACTAGAGCAATGCAAATTAAAGCAACTCTGAGAATCTATTTCATATCCATCAGACTGGCAAAGTTAACAAAAAAGCAGAAAATGACAAATTAGGGAAGGGGTGACCTCCTCTTCCACCCCACCTCAGCCACACAAAGAGGATCATACCATTGATCTTGCCATCACATAAAATCACCACCTCCATTTTCAAGAATTCTGAAATCCCCTTATCCAACCATAATCTATTGGCTTTTCACCTTTCCTTCTGCCTTCCCTTACCAAACCTGACTCTTTGTCCAAACTGTGACATCCCATCCCTCAAACCCTCAAATCTCTCCCAGGCTATCACTCCTCTTCTCTCTCCTCTTCTGCTGCCCATCTTGACTCCTTCATAAACAAGTTCAAGTCTACCCTGGTTGCCTCTCAAGCCTATCTCTGATTACTCCCAGCCAAGCTTCAGCCTAGGATCACTCCCAGCATTCCTCCCATTTGCTCCTACACACAAGCTACTCAAAAAAGGTGGAGAAAACCATGCAACTGTTCCGATGGGGTCCACTACAAATTGATGTCATACAACTTCACCTGAGCCCTCACTGCTGCCAGGCAATCCTACTCTACCTGCCTCATCAATTCCCTCTCCCACTCTCCACAGCAGCTCCTCTAAACCTTCTCATCCCTCCTCATACCTCCCATGGCTCCCCTTGCTCCCTCCTCCTCAGCTGAGAACCCTGCCTCATATTTCACATTAAAAAAAAGTGAGGCCATTCACCATGAACTCCTTCTCTTCCCATCTTCCTCTTGGGTCACTCAGGTACCCTGTGCCCCTCTCTACTCCTTCACCTATCTCACTTGCTGAAATAGCCTCACTCCTTACCAAGGTCAATCCCTCTCCAAGCACAAGCAATCCCCATTCCATTTCCTCCAACAGACTGCCCCCTTTTCCCATCATCCCCACTCTCACACTCATCTTTAGTCTTTCCTCATCTCCTGGCTGCTTCTCTACTGCCTACAAAAGTGCCCATGTCTCCCCCCATTCTCAAAAAAATCTATCCCTACCATCATCCCTTTTGTGGCCCAACTTCTCTTTAGACTGCCTATAACAGGTGCCCCCACTTTCTCTCCTCTCACTCTCTTCTCAACCTTTTTCAGCAGAGGCTGAATCTAACAGGTATGCTGTAAAAGGGAGTTCAGAATGCTTTTAAAGGCCCATCCAACTCTAAAGTTCCATGATACCACTGAGGTCATTAGGATCAAACAATAACCCATTTCCCTCTTCCACTTCTTTTGCTTTTAACTTGACCTGGGATTGCACTTGGCTAGGGAGTTCCCTATGAGGCCCTCTACCAACATGGGCAGCTTGGTGACTTCTAGTTTAGGGTACTGGAAGTAGCCCAATCGATCTGTCCAAGATCACAGAACTGATATATGTCAGAGTCAAAATTGTTCTGATACTGCCTGTTTTACTCTTGCATGAATAGAATTTTTCTCTTTTTCCTAAAACTCACAGGACAGAATCAAATACTCTAGGTCAGACAATCTGAGCAGCGACAGAATTTTTAGATATATGTGTGTATATGTAGTATATGTGTATGGATATATACACATATATGTGTAATCCATTCTTAGGTTCTTAAATAAATTAACTTCAAATGTGCAAGTGTGTTTTTAAAAAGTATATAATATTTTAACTTTCCCCCAATTGTCATTTTTCCATTAAAATTTTTTTTTTCACTTCCAGCTTGCCAGTCATTCTGATCAGTCTTTTCCATGCTCTTTTCTCATTTCTGTCCTTACCCCTAGCCCCCTTCTCTAGAGCAGAAAAAAAAAAAACCTGACAGCTAAGGCAACTTGGTTGTCATGAATTCTTTAAAAATCCCCAAGTATAACTTAGGGGGTTCCAGCTGACAGCAGTGGTAAGGGTCACTTGAGGAATCTGCCCAGGTTTCCCAGGTGGTTCTCAGCAGCAATCATCACAGACTCACTCAGGGGCTTCCCTAAAAGCCCCTATGGTCCCTACTTCTCATGCAATACTATGGCATGGTCTTAGCTCTTCTCATGTTCACTATACTCAAACTGCATCCTAAGAGGGTGGGGATTCAGCATCAGCTGAGGTTCCTTGTGATAAGATCTGACCCTGGGATCTTCAGACTCTGCAAAAGAAAAAGATTCCCCTTTCTGCTTCCTGATGTTAGCCACTGAGCCCCCTTGGCTACAGCTGCCCCCCAAAGGATATTTCTGCTTCCACAGAAGCAGCAGAAAGCTGCTCAGGAGAAATCTCCACTCGATCCTTCCTCTTATCTGAACGCCGAAGAACGATGACTGAGCGGATGTACACAACTTTGGAGACAGCAACCTAGAAAAAAGCCCAAAGGTAATCATGAGCTCCATTACTTCCAATAATAATATTACAACTTATACCCTCAGAAGAAAAAATATTGAGCCCATTCAGATGAAGGAAGAATCAACCTATCAAGCAACATTTACCAAGTAAGTATCCATGATGATGTGTGCTTTGGGGAGAATGAGGCACGGGGTTAAGTGAACTTTGAATTCAGTGATTTACATTAAACAAGAATGAAATGCCAGAGTCTAACAGCATTGAATTGAAAAAACACGTGAAAAAGAGAATCCCAAGGCGCAAGGACTTTCACCTCAATGTCATGAAATGGTCTGGCTGGCTGGTGAAGCCTACAAATCTCTTCTCAGAATCATGTTTTTAAATACATAGGATTACAAAAGAAATCAATTTTACTGAAATAGTTATCCAAATATTTTTATGTCCGATCACCTTTTTTTTTTTGAAAACAAGTTCCCAGACCCTGGTTAAGAGCCCCTGCCACAGAATAAACATTGTGGAAAATTCAGAAGGCACCAATCATCAGGGACAGAACCAACACGAGCTGAACCCCAAGAAGTTGGGGAGCACTGAGGATGTGGGGCTGGTGAGGAAGGAGTGTGGGGGAATTCAGTTTGGGGCTAATGGGATGATCAGGGCAGCGGAAATCATCCAATTAGGGAAATTGGGTTAAACCTGTTGGTTAAGGACTGACAGCAGAGGGCCTCAAATGTCAGGCTAAGGAGTTTGGACTTGAAGCAGGGGAGAATGAAGGCTGACTGAAGGGTTTTTTAAGTAAAGGAGTATTATAGTGGTATTTAATGAATATTATTATGTATGTAGTATGTAATATGTAGTAACAATACTACAGCTGCTCCAATAGATGAGTGAAGGCCTGTTTGTCTCATTTCTGTATTTTTTATTCAAATGCCTAGGTCATTTAATGAATGATTGTTAAAGAGAACCAAAAATAATTTTAAAATAACATCAATGAACGTTTTGAAAAAGGATAGAGAGAATATTGATTGTTTATTCTTCATTTTCCTTATTTCTCAGGAGAGCTTTTCCTTATACGTTTATTACAGAAGGTGAAGTAGAGCTATACGTAGACAGACACCTGAGCAGCCATCTATGAGATGGGATGGGATGAGATGGGATGGAGAGGAGAAGGCAGGGGGAGAAAATGAGATGGGATTTGGAGAAGAGAGGGGAGGGGGAGAGCAAGAGGAAAGGAGAGGGGAGGGGGAGAGCGAGAAGAGAGGAGAGGGGGGAGCGAGAGGGGAGGGGGAGCGAGAGGGGAGGGGGAGAGCGAGAGGAGGGGGATCGGAGGCCAGCAGCTCCCACCTCACCGGCTAATCCTCCCCCTCCCGCAAGGCTGGCCTAGGTGTCGGGCTCAGTGAGAGTTGTGAGTATAGGGGTGCTGCCCCCCACTCCCTGCAGCAAAGGGGGCTCAGCCCCCGGGCATCCCATCCAGGCGCGGCACCGCCCCCCTCCCCCGGGCCGGGCAGCCCAACCTCGGCCGGGAGGGGGGGAGGAAGGGGCACAAGGTCCGGCTAGCACCGTCGCCGCCCCCACCCCCAGCCGGCCCGACCTACGGTCGCCCTCGCCTGCCAGGCCAGGCCGCCCCACCCCGCTGGGGATGGGGGGGGAGGGGGGCGGGGAGAAAATGAGGCCGGCACGGCCCAGCGGGGGACTGGCGTCCGCAGGCCGAACCTTCGGCAGCCCCGGCCCCGCCCAACCCCCTCCGGCTGGACCTTCAAGCAACCCGCCGACCTGACCTCCGGCCGCGCCCCCCCCCTTGCGCCTGACTAGGCCGTCCCACTGCGCCTCAGCCAGTGGGGGGGCGGGGGCCGCCGAAGGTTCGGCCGGCCCAACGCCGCCCCCCTGATACTGGACGGATCATCGGCTACCCCCTCCCCCCAAATCCTTGTGGGGGACCTGCGCCCCCCGAAAACCCCTTCGGCCGCCCCCCCTCCCCCCCGCCCGTCCAGGCTGCCCCACCCCGCGGAGGTGGGGGGGGCAGGGGCAGCCGGAGGGCCGAAGGGCCGGCCAAATGGCCGCCCGGCGCCGCCCGAAGGCCCGAGCCCCTCACCTCGCCGAGGCATAGTCCCATGACCTCCTCTTTTTCGGTGCTCAGGGCATGGTTGAGGGCCACCAAAAAGGCGTCCGACTGGAGGTGCACCGCCAGGACGGCCATCTTGGATTGGCCCCGGCGCGCGCCGGTAGCCCGCCCCCTTTATTACCGAGGCGCTCGCGTGCCCAACCCGCCACTCGCCCCCGAGTGCCAGAGCAGCCGGTCGTGACCCGCAGAGCTCTTTCTCTCTCGACAGAGCGGCGGCGGCGGCGACCGTGACCGTTCGGCTGTGTCGGCCCTCTTCAACCCGCTTCGGCTTCCCTCTCCTCTGCCTGTGTGTCGGCCCGGATCCGGCGGCGCAGCCACCCAGCGGGTCCGTGCGAGCCCCCGGGGGGAGGCGGGACGTGGGGGCCGGGCGGGCGGCCGGGGTGCCCGGGGGTGGGGGTGGGGTGGGGTGCGGGGGACGGCTCGGAGGCGTGCCCGGGGGAGGAGAGAGGGCCGGCGAAGGCGGGTCGAGCGGGCCGGCTGGCCGGGGGAGGCCCGGAGGGGGCGGCCGGCGGCGGGGGCGGTGGCAGGGGCCGGCGGCCTGGAGAGAGGCGGGCCGCGGGGTGGGGACTCGGGGCGGAGGCGAGACGAGACGAGGCGAGGCCAGGGGCGGGCGGCCGTCGGGGAAGAGGGCCCTGAGATGGTGCTTGGTGAACTTTGAGGCTCCGGAGGAGCTGAGTGTTTTGGTCAGAGAGAGGCCGCTGGGCGCCTAACGCCGGGGCTGTCCGGGTTGCCTAGACACCGATGATGCGAGGCGGGTTCTGGAACTTTCCTTTCTCCTCGGGCGCCCGCTAATGGCCCCTCCCCCTCGCGCGCCCTTCCCGCGCTTTTACGCTCGGCCTCGTGCGGCCCTCACGCGCCCCTCCCCCCTCCCGCAACCGCCTGGAATCCTGCGCGAGCCCCGGCCCCCTGCCCTGAGCGCCGGCCCCCAGGACGCCCCTCGGAGGTGGTGTGCTTCCCCACCCTTTTCCAAGGAGATTAGTTAAGGCTTCAGGGTTAGGGATCTTTTCCCCGTGATTGTCACCTCAAGTAAGGAGAGGGAAGGGAGGGGAGAGGAGCCATTCTATTTTATTTCGTTTGGCCCCGTCAAAACGAGGCCGGAAAACTGAGAAACATCAGGTGGCAGAGTGTTTGATTTTATTAAAGAATCTCATTAATGTCTTTTCCGTGGTGGAGGGGAAGGGAAGGAAGAGGAGGTATCCCAAGGGTGTGAGGGATCAGATCGGGCCTTTTCCTCCGACCAGGGTTGGATTTTTGCCCTGCTCTCCTAGGGTTGGCGGCTCCCAGAAGTCAGCCAGCATCGAGCCCTCCTCAGTGGCCTGGGCTGCCACTCTCTTGACTCAAGGCCTGGAAGGTGCTTTACCAATCTCACACGTACAGAGTCAGAGCACAGCTTTAGAAATGGGCCTTTCCGGTCTGTAATCCAAGGAACGTTGAGGGTTCTAGTATAATGCCATGATCCCATCACATTTTCTTCTTAAATCTTGAAAGTCAGGTAGGTTTGGCAGTAATGAGAAGAAAGAAATATTGAAGCGCTTCCTGAATTACTGGTAGTCTTTCCTCTTTTCTCTAAGTCAGTTTCAAACCGATTTCTATCTCACTTTGGACTTGGGGCAAGAAACCCAGTGGTACTTACGGTCTTTTTGATTCTCTGAAAAGAGCAAGATTCTTGGCACACGAGCTTATTAAAGATCCCATGGCACTTTTTTCAGGATTAAGTTTGCTAATGGTAACAACAGTTGGACCAAAAAAGCATCTTTGCACGGAGCCACCTAAATTTCCCCTAAAGTTTCCCTTGATTTCCCATCTAAAGCAATTGTGCCAATTCTTCCATGAATGTACAGAGTTGACTACTTTTGGGTGGTGGATAATTTTACTTTGTAAAATGTTTAGATATATTCAGTATGAGAATATAATTATTAATATATAGTTATTATAATTATCACCATATAAGTATTAGTCCACTATTATAGTCCATTTTTATTCCAAAATTACATTCAGTAATTTTCAGTGCATGTATGTAGTGTGGTTTTTCACAACTTGAATTATTTGTGTATTGTACAGCCATAAAATTGTCTGGTGGTTAAGATTAAATAATCAATTCAGTTGGACCAATTTAATTACTGATCATTCAATTCAATAAAAAATATTTTAATTATTGATTCTTCAAAGAAAATAAGTATATTTGATGGGTAGACATTAGTAATTGTAACTAAAAACCTGTAAATTTAAAGCAGCTTTCTAATTGCAAAACAAACAACAAAAAAATCAAATTAATTGTACAGAGAAAAGGAAGCCTTTACCTAAGTCCTTTCAATTTAAATAACACAAGATTTGAAACAGGAATACCACTATATGTCAGAAGAGCAGTGTATCTTGTCTAATATGACCTTCTTTGATGTCCTTTCAAGCAGTTAGGGATTTCCCTAAATATCTCCACTTTGCCTTAGTAATTCATCATGGCTATATCATCCTTGAATTTATCTAACTTCTTCTTGAACCTGTTTGTTTTCATCCTCTACTTGGAGAGGCACCATAACATGATGAAATAACAGTTTGGCAATCAGGAGTCCTGGCCTCTAGTCCTGTCACTGGATATGGGACCTTGGGCAAATCACATTACCTCATAGACCTCAGTTTCCTCATCTGTCAGATGTGATAGAATTGGACAAGGGATCTCTAAGGTCTCTTCTAGCCTTAATGTTCTCCAGTTCTATTCCTCTAGTTAGCATTCCTTCCTCTCTGCTTCCTTCTCTGGCTCAGCTGTGGGCATACACCAACACTGTTCTGGCCCTCTGCTTTTCTTCCTTTATATTCACCACTTAGGATTTCATCATCCACTCTTAGGGCCGCAAGCATCACCTTAATGTGCATGACTCCCAAATCTCCAGCTCCAGCTCATGGCTTTTCTGACTTCCAGTATCTTGTCTCCAATTGTCTTTGGAACACACTGGATGCCCCATCAGAACCTCAAACTCAACTTTGTTGGACAGATAGGCACGACTTTTGATAGTTGATCATATACCTGTGGAACTAGTTGAGCCTAGTCAGTCACAGGATCCCCCCAGAATAAGAATCTGCATGCTATAGTGGAGAGTGCTTACTTAGAAAAGACTCAGTTCAAATCTCACTCATTAGATTTGTGACCATGAGCCATCATCTCCCTAACCTTCTAACTTCCTTATCTGTAAAATGTGAATCTCAGTACCCATCATACCTACCTCACAAGGTTGCTGTGGGGATCAAATGAGGTAATGTAGGTAAAGTGGTATATAAAAACATTAGCTGTTACTCTATTGGAGTCTCTAGCTTGGTGGAGTCTGCCAGAGCTTGAGTTCTGCTGTTACGGTATTTGAGGCCCCAGTGTTACTTCCAGACCATAATGTAGGTTATTTTAGGGTGTCTTTTGCTCATATATACATATATATATATTTTTTAAATTTAATTTAATTTTATTTTTTTTATCCCCTGAATCCCCTAAATGAGGAAACAGGACCAGAGAAGCCTACTAGCTTGTTCTGGGTCATGAGAGTTAGGAAATGAAAGCTCTCTGGCCCTTTTAAACCTAGATTTCCTGATGCCATGTCTAGAGCTCTCACCATTGTGAAAAGAAAGGGAAACAAGCTTAACATCTGTTCTTTAGGATGCCAGAAATGGCAGTTATAGAATGGTCCTCTCCTCCCCCACTCCCAGTTAACTACATGTATTGGTCACAAGTGGGAGTTATTTAGGGGCCAATCTGTATCCCCAGAGCCATTTGTTTTTGGCAGAGCCCACTTTCCCTCGAACACTTCCCCAGATTGCGCCGTCGCCACTATCTAAGAATGTGAGCAGTTGCTAGGACAGTTGGTTTTCAATGGGCTTCTAGTTTCCTCTGTTGAGTTTTAGGTTTTGAAAACAGGAATTAATTTAGCTAGACCCTAGGTGAGGGGTTCTTAACCTTTGTGTGTCATGGACCTCTTGGGCAGCCTGGTGAAACCTCTGGACCCCTCCTCAGAATTTTGTTTTTGAATATATGACAATAAACTATATAGGATTATCAAGGAATCCAATTATATTGAAATACAGTTATCAAAATATTTAACAAAAAAGAAAAGAAAGCCAAGTTCAGACTCTTGGTTAAGAACCCCTGCCCTAGGTGATCTCTAGCACCAGGTGTTGACTTTCAGGTCTAATAGCTCACTCATGAATTCATTCAGACCCCAGAAATCACACTTGTGTCCTGGGCATGGGTGCTGCAGACTTAGGTGGACAAAAGCAATCTTAGAATTGGAACCCAAAGCCCAGAATGGCAGAAGGGGACATTGTGGGAGCCCCACCTGATCACCTCTGGGTACACCAGGAAGGTGTCTACCGGGATGAATACCAGCGAACATGGATTGCATTTGTGGAAGAGGTAACTCTTGATTTTCTATCAACTTGGTTTCTATCCATTTTCAGTCTTTGGGGAGGGTATGGTTTCAGTGTTTACAATTATTTCCCCATAGGAGACCAGTTTCGTTAGGGCTCGAGTGCAGCAGGTACAGGTACCCCTAAGTGATGCAGTCAGGCCCAGTCATCTCCCTCCCTCACAGCTACCACTAATGTGGCAGCTGTACCCTGAAGAGCACTACCTGGATAACAACTCTAGGATATGGGAGATAGAGCACCACTTAATGGTATGTATTATAGCTAATTGTTCTCAATTTGATTTAGCCCCCCTCTAGGAAAGAGAGAGAAAGAGAGAGCGCTCTATTCTTTTTTCTCTTTGTTTAACAGGTCAGGGGAGTTGAGGAGCTGTTGCTTAAGCTCTTGCCTGACGATTAATCTGGTAAATATTGATGTTATCGCTTTACCCTTTCTATACTTTTTTATGCTTATACGTGATTATGGAGTTTTAATAACAATATTTGTTTTCCAGGTGCTGGGATTCTAGGAAGATATGTCCATTTGTTGTGTACATTATATGGGAATCACTTCACCCAGCACTGAAGTGCATCTACCTTTGGGGGGAAAAGTGAAAACTGTTCAAGAACACAGCACAACAGTTTAGGAAGGAAAGTGAAGAATACTGTAAAACCGCAGGGGGAATGTTAGGTAGATACAAGGCAAGTCCAGAGGTGGTCATTGAGTCAGGACACCTAGCTTAAAACCTCTGACTCTTGGAAAGTGCCATGGAATCTTTAATGGACATCGTCGGTCAGAACCTCCGTTTGACATCCTCACACAAAAAGCAGCACCTCCAGAAAAGATGCCCTGATCACCAAGGACTTGGTACTGACTTAGACGGGAGCCTTCAGCAGTCAACATGTTTTGTTTTGTTTTTTCCTCCTCCTACCCCTCCCCAAACTTTGCATTCCTCTTTCTCCCTTCATAAAAACATCCTAGTTTTTGCTTGCATGTCTTCCATTCCAGCACTGGTATACTTGGATCTACTGAGAACTTAGGAGTTCTGAGAAAGGGCACCACCCAGGTTGGCTCCAGTCTTCAAGGACCTTTCCCCTTTCAGAAATGCCACATGTCTTCAAAGTCTCAGGGAGTTTTAAACTCAATCTCTGTTTACCATATTTTATATTTAAATAACAAACTACTTTCTTGGAAACTTCCAAAAATCCACTTTAGGTGTTCATAGACACTTTTCCCAGGTAATAGCATTTTAGTTGTTGCCAATTCCCAAGGATGTATTTGATTGCCCTGGTAAGGAGCTTCCTGAGATAAAGCCAAAGTAGCTGGGATAGTTCAGTTGCATTTGAAATGAAGGGAAAGCCTGGGGGATGGAGGATCTTGCTTTTTGGAAAGCCATTGTTAACAGTTCTGAAAGTAAATATAAACTATTGTTTTCCCTAATTGAGTGAGGTTGGTACTATAAATGCAGTATGCTCATCCTGTAAATGGCCAGAGGGTTTTGTAATTACTCTAGTGTAACTTCTTTCCAGTGATGAAGGGGTTCAGAGTAAAAATCTTAGATGAAAATCCCTAAGTCTCAGTGGTTAGGGGTAGAAAATAGAGTCTATGAGCCAGAAAAGATTTTTTTATGGGAAAGCAAAATAAACACTCTATAATCGTTTTGTTTTTTTTTTTCTTGTTTTAGTTTTAATGGATATGTCCCAGAAGGATCCCTGCCAGAAACAAGCCTGTGAAATACAGAAATGCTTGCAAGGTACTTACATATGGTGCTTTATTCTAGTGATTTTTTTTTCATTTTGTGTATGAGCTTCAAGAGTCAGACCATCCATCTGCAAGTTAACATTTAACTTGTCTCATAGTAATACCCAGTTTCTGCACTTTTTCTTTCACTGGCTACATTACCAGTGTAAATTAAGGATGATTCTCTTTATGGCTCAAAAAAAATAGTAGCAAGTTCTACTTTTTTCACCTACATTTTATAAAGCATGATGTTAGTGGGAAAAGCACTGGATTTAGAGTCAGAGGGCCCGAGTTCAAATTCTGACCCTGATACTTTCTAACTAAATGATATTAGGCAAGACACCTAACTACGGTTGCCCTTAGTTTCCTCATCTGTAAAATGAAGAGTTTTTATTAGATGAACCCCAAGGTCCCATCTGGCTAAAAAGCTCTTACCCTGTGGTGTTGAAAAAGGAGGGCTGGTTTTAAATGGGTGACATTATGCTGTGGTTGATTAACCACTTGAACCTGAGTAGAAAGGGTTCAAGTAGAAAGTTGGAGTTCCTAGATACCCACCTCAGCTGCTGTGGAATGGGGAAATTAATGTCCAGTTGCTAAAGAATGACCACGGCAAAGAATTCTAGCAGTGAAGTTGAATTGAAAAGAAGGCCCTTTGAAGAGAGGGCTGACCTTCCTGGACCTGATTCTCATCCCCTCTGTACTCAAAACTGGGTCCTTTCACATGGGGAACTACTTTTGATATCATTGGAATCCCATCACAAGTACAAAGCAGATGAGAATTGGTATATAAGTTTTACTTCTGAAATCTTAAATGAGTTGTATAAGACTTTTAGAAGGAATCCATTATATTAACCATTTAGGAAGAATTTTAATACCTTATTTACTTACCCCCTTGCCCTCAATTTTGAGAAGGTAAGAAAACTGTTTTTCTCTCCCTAACATGTATAGTATGTATATGTATATATGTATGCATGTACATGTCATATATGTATGTACATGTGTGCACATACATACGTGTGTGTAATGAATAAATACACACACTTTGAAATAATCACATGGTCAGGACAGAAAGACTAAGAATTAAAGAAGCATCTGACTCCATGTTCTTGGCTTGGATAAGGGGGAGGAGAAAAGGGAAAGCTAGTCAGCATATGGTCCTTGATTCCTATAGCTGCCCTCTAATATAAGGGAGCTAGGAAGAGTCAACTGGAGCTGCAGCAGCTTCAAGTCCACATTTCTCTGGAACAGGAGTTCTTAGTCTTTATCATGTCATGGGCCCCTGTTCAGAAGAATGTTCTGGTCACCTCCATAATAATTGAAAGAAATGCTAAATTTCACTTAGCAAGGGGTGAAAGTAAAGATGGAATTTTTCTTCCCGTTGAAGTTCATGGACTCCTTGAAATCTATATGTAACTCCAAGGGGCTTCCTAAGTTAAGAACCCCTTCTCTAGAACAGAAGATATGCTTAATCCAAGCCCTACATCTGAAACTTAAAAGGAAATAATACTATGTGGTATGATACTAATACTAAAATACTACCTTTCAGTCATTTTGTATGTCAATATTTTTTTCTTCTGTTTAATACACTGAAAGTCTTCTGAGAGTTATCAAGGACTGCAGAATTGCTGAAGGGATAAATCTTAGGAGGTTCCATTTAGTGATAAAATTAATTTCTGTGCAGTTCTGAATAAGTTGCTAGTGTTTAGTAAATGGAAGTGAGAATCTCAAGTTATGAATATTGGCAAGTGCAGTGAGGCATAGACTCTCTAGGTTTCAGTGCTTGCTGTGGGCTTTTCTCCTTCCCCTTCCAATTCTTTAGAGTAAAAACATCAAAGCAATAAAGTTGAAACTCATGCCAGTCAATACAGTATTTCCTGAAAAGGAACTTGAGGTTTTACTTCCCCACCCTCCTCCCCAGGTATACAGATAAATTAGGCAACAAAACAGCAAATAAAGGAAGGTTATTTTAAACTACCTGAGACACTCTGCAGAATTAATAAATGACTGTCCATCGGGGTGTCTTATAATACTAGTAGGCACTGAAAATTTTGCCTCACCCCTTTTCTTGCAAATTTTAGTTTCAATTATTTATGAGCTAAATCTGAAAACAGGTTAGGCTACAAAAATAATTGGTCTAGGTTAGAATCTTCCCTTAGGTTAGATTTCTCCCTCATTTCCTCTTCCATCCCCCTGCTCCGTATCCTAAAGGGCCCAATCTCTCCCCCACTAATTTTGGTTGGTGGATGGGAATACTTTCTTTTCCCTTTACTATTTCTAATGGGTTATGCTAGCTCTTTAAGTTTACAGGGAAAGTTTTCAAATCACTGATCTTTTAAAAAAAAAATTGTGCACACCCTACTTGCTCAGTTTACTTTCTCTCATAGAATTAGTCTTTGTTTTTCAGCCAACAACTACATGGAGTCTAAGTGTGAGGCTGTCATCCAAGAGTTGCATAGGTGCTGTGCTCAGTACCCCAAAGGGAGATCTGTTGTCTGTTCAGGATTTGAGAAGGAAGATGAAGAAAGGCAGAAGCTTAAATCTGCATCCAAATGAATTTCTGCTCCATGTTTTTCATCCAGGAGATTTTATTTGGTCTCCTGAACAGGTTTTCTCAGGTAGTCAACAAAAACCAAATGGAAATTCACTTAACAGGTTTAGTCAATAGATATGCCACTTAGGCAAAAGAATAGAAAGATAGAAAAAGAAATCTAGTCTGAAACAACTTATTAAAAGCAAAAATGTTTTTGTTTCAATTGTAAACTTTTAAAAAATGACCTGTTTAAAATAAACATGTTTTAAATGCAGATATTTTGGTCTGGTACTGAATGGTCTCTTCATAAGGATTTCCTTGATTTTAGCAGCTCATTAATTATACTGCATAATATAGTACCTTCCAGGGAGGTAGTGGCATCTAGTGGGGAAAGCACTGGATGGTTTTAAGTCACAGGACCTGGGTTCAAATTCCAGCTTTGGGCCAAAATGAGGGAGTTGGATTAGATCAGTGTTCTTCCAAGTGTGGTCCAGGGACCCCTGGGGTTCCCTGAGACCCTTTCAGGGGGTCTTAGAGGCTAAAACTATTTTCATAATCCTAAGATAATTTCTAATATGGTAAATATCAATAGATATAATCCACATAAACCAAAGGTGTTTAGGCGTCCTCAATAATTGTTAAGAGGGTAAAGGGATCCTGAGAAAAAAAGTTTGAGAACTGATAGACTAGATGATCTCTCATGTCCCTTCTGGCTCTAAATCTATTATTTCTTTCAGCAGCATCTCATAAACATTGATCTTTACGAATGTTTGTGAGTTGCAATAATGCTGTGATGAAATTTTTTATCTCTTCAATGTGGCTCTTCCCTTCCGTCAACCTAGCCATGCTTTTTCAATCTGTAATTCTTGTCTATTTTTCAAGAAATCCTTTATGGATAATCTGCACAACGTGCTAGAAATTATTTTAATAATTAATGGATGCCAGTACAACACTTGGGTTAACTCATCTTCATTTACATGATTGGCCCACCTTTTCCAATCATATATGTCTTTGATGCCATTTATTTATCCACCAATCATCTGGAAATAAGCTGTAGCCTACTTCCACCTACCATGCATCTTTCCATTACCTTTTTGAAGCGTCTGTGATTTTGATTATTTTGAGATTGTTGTGTTATGGGATTTGTGGTCATGTTATAGCAATGAGAAAATTGTTGGTGGTAACTAGGTGGCATGGTGGATAGAGTGGTGCCGGACTTAAGAGTCAGGAAGCTCAGAGTTCAAATCCTGCCTCAGCCACTTACTAGATGTAGCTGTGTGACCCCCAAGAAAATCACTTGATCTCTCAGCCTCAGTTTTCTCATCATTAAAATGGGGATAATAATAATACCTATCTCAAAGGGATGTTGTGAGTATTGAGTGAGATAACATGTAAAGCAATTTGCAAGCCTTGAAGCACTAGATAAATGCTAGCTATTATTATCATGATGGGTTTTTGCAATTTAGGATTTTTGAAAATATTGCTCATTTTCCTGAATGAAAACTAGCTCATTTTTTTCAAATCTGGACCAAGATTGTTGGTCAACTGCAGTAGCTGTCTAGTAACCCAGTAGACTCCATTCAACTGCATTTCGTAACCTAAGCAATATACATTTTTCAATCACTTTTTAAAAATTTTCTCTATGATTTGCTATGTCATTGTTTCTGTGAATATCTGTAGCTCTTACTGAGGAAGCCCTGTAGTATTATGGGGCCAGGCACAACACAACAGAGGTGTCGGGGAGCAGTGCTCCCCAAGTGTAGTTGAACCAGTTAAAAATGGAATTGGGAAATATTTAACAAAATAAATATGCAATTGAACATATGCAACTCTCATTTCTATTTGAGTTTGATACCACTACAATACAATATTGTTGATGGCCAGGAGCTTCTGAAGAAGCTCACCATCTAGCTATAAGAAATCACCTTTTTAGTTACACTATAAGTGGAATATCCTCCATCCATCACACTGTCGAAACAACCTTTGGCAAGTGTGTCTCCTCTTTTTATATCTTGCTTCATGATGATACTCTGAGGAGCATTAAAATCCTCTCTTTGGAATTTGATGAAATATCAACATGTGCCTGAGAGTCACCTTGTTCAAGGACAACCTAAATTTTAAGGCTATGTTTTGTTTAACCAAGGCAAATGCATTTTATCTTGATAATAAACATAAGTATTTTTTTTAAATACTCTATGCCTCATGGTCACTTGTGACTATGAGTCTACTGTAAAAAAACTGCAAAAGCTGTTGTTTCTTCTCCTGTTTTCATCTCAATACATAGGCTATTGTATAGAGAATAAAAAAGTAGGCATGAGTTTGGTGGTACTGCTGTCCATGATCTTTTTTACAATTTTTTAGAATATTCCCATTTAAGAAGTCTTAAAGATGGGTCCCTGGCTGCCTTTCAAATTATATTGCCTCTAGATCTTCTTTTCACCTGGTATTTGGTCAGATCTAGGTACTCCACAGCTCCATATTCTTAAGTACCATTTCTACTTCCTTCTACAACACATTGTTTACTGTAGTGAAGAGTCCAAATGGTCTGTGGTCTTCAGTGATGAGAATATATTGCCATGGAAACTTGAAAACCTCTTCCATTTCACACCTATTTATCATTCTTTCAGTTTTCATCATGAAATTCTTTGGCTTAGTTGGCTCTCAAACTAAGAATTCTGCAGAATTATTTTCTTCACTATATTTCATTGTTTTGTGAGGTAACAAACTATAATGTTCACCCATCTTCCTCTTGAATGTTTTTCAAATGAACCTCTACTCTTTTAATTTTTGTAGACTTTTACTGCAGTGTATCTCTTCATTTCCTTGGTAAGGAAATCGAGTGTTTGTGTTGACTGTTACAATGGCTAAAACTCTCTTAAGGAATCATGGTGATTTGTGTCAATGGCTTTACTTTCATCAGTGTCTTATTTTTCAGTCAACTGTACACAGTACCTTCTCATCTATATCCTAATTTTGCATTGATTTTGACTTTTGCTGTAACTGGTCTATTATCTATGTGCAGACAGCTGATTGTGAAATTATTCCTCCATAGATAAGCCATTTCCTATTAAAATAACAATTTCATTAAAAAAAAAAAATCAGTCTCCCTACTTCTAGTACCTTCCAACTCTTTGGGAAGCAACGTGGTATAGTGTAAAGAGTTCTCGTATCCCATGAAATACTTCTCATTGCCTTTGGGCATATGATGAAACATTCTCCCAACTCCTTTATCTGTCCCCCCCCCCATTTGAACTCCTTTCAAATAAAGGAGTCAGAAATCTGTAAGCCATTGTTTTGTTTAGCTGCATCTTATATGTGTATTTCTGGTTTCACATATAGGAATTATGTCTATATGGATATAGATCAGTTTGTCTAATGTATTAATTTTTTGGACAAAGATTACACATTTCAGGTACCAACAATACTCATTACCCATTTTAACACCTGCCTCTTTTTCTTCCATTGTCACTATGGGCTAGAAGGAGGTGGCTGTACAGGGCTCAGAGCAATTTTGTATTTATCAGTTTCATGGATTTCAGTGGTCAAAATATTCATTTGGAAGGTCAAAAGGTCAAGAGCATTCCAGGCATACAGGAAACCATGTGAGCAAAGGTTGAAAGGAAAGTATGGAATCTGTTCTAGGGAACAGGTGAGTAAATCTGTTCATTAAGACCTCCAAAAAGGTTTATTTCAACTTTAATATGCTAAGATTTCACAGAATTGTGATCAGAAGGCTTCTTGTGAGATATCTAATCCTCTCTCTACCCAAAAAGGAATCTCTATTACAACACGTCCAACAAGATTTAATAGATGTACCATAAGAAAGAATTCACCAAATCACTAATACTCAGAGGAATGTAAATTGAAACAACTGAGGTTTCAAACTGCAAAGGTGCCAAGTGATTGAAAGTCGTTGGAGGGATTGTAGAAAGACAGACACACACAAATACATTGTTGATGGTTCTGTGAGTTGGTCCAACCATTCTAAAACACAATTTAGAATTCTGCCCCCAAAATAACTAAAATGTCCATACCCTTTGACCCAGAGATCCCATGCAAGGTATGTCCGTCCAGTGAGGTCAGGCACAAAGAAAAGGCTCATGTCTACCAAAACATTCAGAGCAGTAGATTTTGTAGCATCCAGACATTAGAAACAAACTAGGCACTTACTGATTGGGAAAGGGCTAAAGAAATCACACACAAATGGAATATTGCACCATATGAAAAGATGACTCTAAAGGATTCAGAAAACTGGGAAGATGGAGAGTAGTGAGCTGAAGTAAGCAGAATTATACCCAGTGGCTCCAACAATATAAACAAAAAGAGTAATAAAAGAAACAACATTGTTGTGTGATGAAGCTTGGCACAAGAGAAGACTTGAGAATACACCTTCCCTTCACTGCAGAAGTGAGGACCTGTAGAGGTGGAGCATTTAGTATCAGATTCAGTCTATGTGTTGGTTTTACTCTGAATATTTTTCCTTTACTTTTTTATTTTATTATTTTTTGGGGGTTGGGGGGTGAGAGGAGTGAGGTAGCTGAGGTTAAGTGACTTTCCCAGAGTCACACAGCTAGTGAGTGTTACACATCTGAGGTCGGATTTGAATTCAGATTCTCCTACTCCACTGCACCACCTAGCTGCCAATATTTTTTTCTTTTCTAATCTTCATTAAAAGAGAAGGCTTGATTCCTGAGGGGCAGGGGAGGATATATTTGGAAATGAGTCGTGTAAAAGCCAAAAGAATCAAAAGATTTAATGGTTATAGAACATGTAGTATACTTTACATATTCCTGTGGTTGCACCCCTGAAGTCGAATTTTTAAAAAATTCATTATTGGTTATAAAACATACAGTATAAACTCATGCTGCCTGTGCTTACAACTCTAAAGCGCAATTTTAAAAGTTTTTATTATATTCTTAACCATTAATAGACAATCAAGTAAATGTATAAAACAAGGGACAAAGAAAATCATGCCTTACTGCCCCCAGCAATAATAAGATAGAAACAAATAACAAAAGAATAAAATACTCCTGTGTTCTCCAAGCCTATCCAAAATTCTGCCGCCCTTGTTCCTGCTGAAGTACCAGGAAGCAGAGCAATGTAAGGGATGTACCCATAAGTGGAAGTCAGAGGATCTGAGCGTTAAAAACAGGTTTATTTCAGCATTGAATGATGACTTACCAATGTTTTAACCATTAGGGTTTTTTTTAATAGTTTTTTTTCTCAAAAGGTACAGCTTTGATTCAAATCATCAAGGTAAACGAAGGATAGTGAGAGTTCACATTTCTTTCTATAGCAATAAAGGACTTCATGTACATTTGACAAATAAGTGGGGCTCAGGTGAAGTGAAAGATTCAGAGAGGTGGCTAGACCAGGGTCACACAGCTAGGAAATGAAAGGCTGAATTCCAACTCTTGTCTTCCTCACTTCAAGTCCAGTACACCACAGCACACAATCTCACAATGACAATCATTAACTAACAGTCTACTTTGGACTAGGCACTGGGCTAAGCACTGTGGTTAAAAAAAAAAAAAAGCAAAAGACAGTGCCTGTCTCCAAGGAGCTCCTGATCTAAGGAGGGACACGACAGACAAACAACTGTATCAACAGCATATACACAGGGTACGTTGGAGGTGGTCTCCTAGGGAAGGCACTAGCAGTCTGGGAAACAGTCTGGGAAAGTCTTCTTGCAGGAATTGGGATTTTAGCTGAGACCTGAAGGATAGAGATGAGGTGGGAGGGAGCTCCAGGCATGCATGAAGTACAGCTGGTGAAAGTGGGAGTGTCCTGAGTCTGGAACAGCAATGAGACCAGTGTCATTGACTCTTAGAGCATATGGAAGGGAGTAAAGTGTAAGAAGACTGGAAAGGTAGGAATGGGACAGGTGACTTTAAAGACTTTAAAAGCCAAACGGAACTTTTTGATCCTGTAAGCTGTAGGGAGCCACTGTGGCTTACTGTGTAAGGAGGTGACAAGGTCAGATCACAGTGGATAAAGCGCTGGGTCTGGAATTGGGAAAGCCTGGGTTCAAGTTTGGCCTCAGACACTAGCTGTGTGACCCTGGGTAAGTTGTTTAACTTCTATCTGCCTTCAGTTTCTATAAAATTGGGGTCATAATAGCACCTGCCTTCCAGGGTGGATCAAATGAGATTTATAAATGCTTTGTATGTAAAATGCTAGCTATTGAAAGGGGGTGGGGAAGTAACAGGGTCAGATCAGCCCTTTAGGAAAATTACTTTGGAAACTCAGCAGAGGATGGACTGCAGTGGGGAGAGTACATGAAGCAGGGAGACCATCACGAGGTGATAAGGGTCTGTAGCAGAGTGCAGAGTATCACTGGAGAAGGATATGCATCTCATAGGTAGGATCCCCAGACCTTGGAAACAAATTGGATATGGGGCGTAAGAGCGAAGAATTGAATATGACCCTTGGGTTGTGAGCCTGGAGAACTGGGAGGATGGGCATACCTTGGACAGTAATAGGGAAGTTTGAAGGTGGGGGGAGGATTTAGGGGGAAAGATGAGTTTTGATCATGTTGAGTTTAAGATACCTATGGGACATCCAGTTCAAGATGTCTACTAGGTAGTCGCAGATGTAAGACCAGAAGTCAGGAGAAAAGTTTGGGCTGGATAAACAGATATGAGAATTATCAACATACAGGTAGCAACTGAATCCCATGGGAGCTGATGAGAGAGCATAGAATGAGAAGAAAGAGGGCCCCAGACATACCTTTCAGAGACCTCCATGGTTAGTGGGCATAACCTGGATGAAGATCTAGCAAAGGAGACTGAAAAGAAGCAGACAGGTAGGAGAACTAAGAGCAGTTTCATGAAAAGAAGAGAATATCAGGAAAAGAGGGTGTTCTGTAGTGTTAAAAGCTTCAGAGGGGCAGCTAGGTGGCACAGTGGATAGAGCACCAGCCCTGAAGTCAGGAGGACCTGAATTCAAATCCAGCCTCAGACCAAACACTTGACACTTATTAGCTGTGTGACCCTGGGCAAGTCACTTAACCCCAATTTCCTAAAAAAAAAAAAGCTTCAGAGAAGTCAAGAAGGATGAGGACTGAGAAAAGGTCATTGAATTTGGCAATGAAGAGACCCATTAGTAGCTTTGGAAAGAGCAGCTTCAGTTAAATGATGGGGCCAAAAGCCAGACTACAGAGAGTTAGAAGACAGTAAGAGGAGAGGAAATGTAAGCATTCATATAGTTAAGCCATGAAAGGGAGGAAAGATAGAGATAGATAGATAGATAGATAGATAGATATAGATAGATAGATAGATAGATAGATAGATAGATAGATGGATGGATGGATGGATGGATGGATGGATGGATGGATGGATGGGATGGACAGATCAAATGAAAGTTTTTGAGGATGGAGGAGACATAAGCATGTTTGTAGGCAGTAGGGAATGAGCCAATAGACAGGGAGAGATTGAAGATGAGTGAGGATGGTGGAGGGGGAAATCGGCTGAAGGAGATGGGATGGTATGGGATTGCAGGTAGAAGGGTTAGTTTTGGCAAGGAGAAGTGCCACCTCTTCATATGACGGATAGAGGGGTAAGGCTCTGAGTGGTGTGATGAGGAGGAGGGGAAGCTGTAATAGGTTTGAGAAGGGATGAGAAGGTTTGGAAGAGCCACTGAGGTGAGTAGGATAGTGAATCAATTAGGGAGCTGGAAAAGGGTTGTTTGGCTACAGTGAAGGCCCAGTTGAGATTATGGAACACGTTAGTAGTGGACTAGTCAGCAGTTTCATGATTTTCTCCAGCTTTATTCAGAAGCACGTGAGTAGGAGTGAAGACGCCAATGGTAGGAGTGTTCTAAGGCTGGTGCAGGATGGGAAATTATGCAGTCTAGCAGGAGGGAGAGGTAAACTACAAAGAATGAGAAGGTTATAGATAAGCCACCCCCAGAGGACTACTGCTCCCTCTTTGATCTCTCTGTTATAGCCAGGTCAGAGATAACATCACTCCTCTCCCTCTGGCTTGCTATTTTGGAGCAGTAGCTATCTCCTAGGACAAGCAGAAGAGCAGCTAGCACCAAAAAGAGGTAAAACCATTCCATCCTATTTACAAAAAAAGTTGGCCTGTCTCTGTCTTTCAGGCTATTGTTAAGCATTAGAGTCTCACTTGACAGAATATTTTTATTGATTTGCAAATCTGTACTGAGCTAGAAATTTCCTAGAAAGTCCGTGTCTTCATTTCATTTCAGTAAGCATTTATTAAGCACCTACTATGTGCTAGGCACTGGGGATACAGAGAAAAGTAAAAGAGTCCCTGTTCTCAAGGAGCTCACAATCTAATAGGGTAGACAGTGTGAAATCAACTATCTCCAAACCAGACAGGATAAATCAGAAATAATTCAAAGCAGGAAGGCACTAGAATTAGGAGGTGTTAAGAAAGGTTTCCTGTAGAAAGCAGGATTTTAGCGGGGATCTAAAGGAAGTCAGTAGATAGAGATGAGGAGTGAGAGCATTCCAGGCAAATGCCTGGAGTCAGGAGATGGACCAGCCAGGAGGCCAGTGTCACTGGATCAAAGATGGATTTGCAGGACTTTGTTGAATATGTGATATTATGGTACTTCTTCCTTTGTCAAGCAAAACTGCTCTGTTTATTAAGAGAAAGGCACCCTGCCCCTTGTCCTATTTGATATTTAAAGATTTGGTAGGTGGGAAGGTTTCAGTTTCACCATGAAATCCTTTCCTGCAGAAGTGTTCTTAGTAAGTTCTAGTCTTTGCCACCAACTCTTTTGTTTTCTGAGACCCTTTCCTCCTCTAATGGAATTGGGCTAGATTATCTCTAAAATTCCTTCCAGGTCTAAAATGCTATTATTTGATTCTAAAATTTAAAGAACTGGTATATTTAAGATGGCTATGCTTTAAAGTGACAGGCACACGTGTGCTTGCATACACCTCCTACACACACACACACACACACACACACTCACACACACACACACACACAATATGCAATTAATGCCCCCTGAAGTAGAGAACCCAAGTCAGAAAGTTGGGCATGATTGTGAGGAAGCTATGAAGTATGACATCAATGAATAAGCCCTCTATTCTAGATCAAAAGGAGGGCCTTCAAAGCAACAGTATGCTTTACCTTCTGTATGGCTGTGAGCCAAAGCTGTCACATGTGGTAGAGTAGGGCTATCCCAGCTGATCAATTGGCAGGGTTTTTTGTTTTTTTTTTTTCCTTTTGTTAGGCAATTAGGGTTAAGTGACTTGCCCAGGGTCACACAGATAGTAAGTGTCAAGTGTTTGGTGTGAGGCCAGATTTGAACTCAGGTTGCCCTGATTTCAGGGCTGGTGCTCTATCCACTGTGCCATCTAGCTGCCCCTTAATTGGCAGGTTTTGATGACCATCAATAAAGGCCTGTAAAGTTGCACTGAATGTACAGTCACAAGGAAATGCTCATCACCGCTGTAACACACAAGCAGGGAGTGATAGGCCAGTCGAGGCAGCTGGAGCTAGAAGAAGGCAAGCAGGGAAGATCACAATGCATTCAATAGTTGGGGGTGGCCCATTGAGTTGGCCTTCACTTTGCCAGTGTGCAGCAGGCAGGAAGTCTTGTACTCCAATTCTACGTCAACTCTTCCCAGGGCAAGTCATCAGGCTGCCACCTGGCTGTGACTGAATGTCCTCATCTGTAAAAGGGAGGAGGGCTTAGAAGCCTCAGTGGGCTTCTAAGGTTCTTTCCATCTCTAGAGGGCCTTACACTGTGTGTACAGGCATACCTGAACAAGCCCCGAGACTGGAGCTGTAGGTCCCAAATCCCAAGAAAGTTGCAAAAGGGAAAAAGAACCATGTTAGGGACTACGCCTATCACCCAGTAAAGCAATGCTAGTCACTGACAGACCGACTTTGCTTTTGTAAATGCCCTATTACAATAATTAGCTCATTTACATCCAAATTTGGGGTCCAACCCCCCTTTTAAATGTTTCTCTCCAAACTAGCATCCTGAAGTCTTTTGGGGTGGGGGGAAGAAAGCATTGTTTCAGTTCTCTGTCATGTCTTAGAGGACTCCTCAGCCTGGGAGGCAGCTGTTTTGATTTGCTGAAGATGTGTGTCCATGGAAACAAGATTACATGAGGATGCTAGGTCCTCAGGCTAGCCTGTATAACAGAGAATCTTCCTCCAGTGCTGGACATTTGCAAAGAAAAATGGAAATAAGAAGGGCCATTCCATTGTTAGTTATTCAAACAGAAGCACACAATTGAAGGACTTATCCCCAAGGCTGAAGACATTTTGTTAAGCACCTACTAGGGACAATCACAGGTAGACAACATGCCTTCTCTACCCTTGTGGAGCTAGCAGTTGAAGAGTGAGCTAAGATACCAACATATAGCTATAATCCATAGCATTACATGCTAAGTATATTGTAGTGATCATACGACACAGCTTTAGAGTGAGAAGGGACCTCGGAAGGCCAGCAAGTCCAAGCTCATTTTACAGATGAGGAAACTGAGCCACAGAGAGGCTATGTGAGCTGCCCAGCATCACACTCTGAGTAAGTATCTAAATCAGAATTTGAACCCAGTTCTTCTTGACTCTAAGTACACTACACAGGGGTTCTTAACCTGCAGTCTGTGAACTTAGATTTTTAAAAATTGTAATATA